TGTAGCACGCTCACTGCACTCTGGTTATATCACGCTGGTATCCATGCCACTGTAGCACGCTCACTGCACTCTGGTTATATCACGCTGGTATCCATGCCACTGTAGCACGCTCACTGCACTCTGGTTATATTACGCTGGTATCCATGCCACTGTAGCACGCTCACTGCACTCTGGTTATATCACGCTGGTATCCATGCCACTGTAGCACGCTCACTGCACTCTGGTTATATCACGCTGGTATCCATGCCACTGTAGCACGCTCACTGCACTCTGGATCACGCTGGTATCCATGCCACTGTAGTACGCTCACTGCACTCTGGATCACGCTGGTATCCATGCCACTGTAGCACGCTCACTGCACTCTGGTTATATCACGCTGGTATCCATGCCACTGTAGCACGCTCACTGCACTCTGGTTATATCACGCTGGTATCCATGCCACTGTAGCACGCTCACTGCACTCTGGTTATATCACGCTGGTATCCATGCCCCTGTAGCACGCTCACTGCACTCTGGTTATATCACGCTGGTATCCATGCCACTGTAGCACGCTCACTGCACTCTGGTTATATCACGCTGGTATCCATGCCACTGTAGCACGCTCACTGCACTCTGGTTATATCACGCTGGTATCCATGCCACTGTAGCACGCTCACTGCACTCTGGTTATATCACGCTGGTATCCATGCCACTGTAGCACGCTCACTGCACTCTGGTTATATCACGCTGGTATCCATGCCACTGTAACATGCTCACTGCGCTCTGGTATCCATGCCACTGTAACACGCTCATTGCGCTCTGGTATCCATGCCACTGTAACATGCTCACTGCGCTCTGGTATCCATGCCACTGTAACATGCTCACTGCGCTCTGGTATCCATGCCACTGTAACATGCTCACTGCGCTCTGGTATCCATGCCACTGTAACATGCTCACTGCGCTCTGGTATCCATGCCACTGTAACATGCTCACTGCGCTCTGGTTTTCCGAAATCTATTGAAACAAAAACGTTTTAAATTGTTTCTTAAATGATTTTTCATCATTTACAATTCCCCTCAAAGATTTAGGCGAACTCTTCCATAATTCTGGTGCCATCGCTTCAAAAGAGCGCACTCCGTACGATTTTTTTCTGTGTTCATCTTCTCTGCATTGAAGACCGCAGGCTCCTCAGAAGTAAATGTTGATAAATAAGTTCCTTGAGATGTTCCGTTGCTGAGCTATCGATGCAGCTGTACGCACGGGACAAAATTTATTTTGTAGTTAATGTAGTCCCTTCCATACCCAACTAAAATAATTTGCACTTCATTTCGTTTGTTCTTTTTTGTTTTAGTTATAAGTGGATTAGTCAATGCTATTTGTCTATGGAGTTGCGCTGCACTGTTTGACATAAACCGCATTTTCTTATTAGAATTATATTTAAAGTTTAGTTTTGATTACGTTATAATTTTAATAAATGTAACTTTTTGGAATAATAAAAGGCAAAACTTTTTCATGTTAATGTACACAGCAGAAATGAGTGTGTGTTTTATTAACAATTTAAAAAGCAATCCATTGTATTTATTTATTTTACTTTTCTGAATCCAGTCTCAGTTTTGTCACTCGTGGTTTTTAAATTGAAAGAAACCTGAGAGTTTTGGAGACATAAGCTATTCGCGCTATGACGTCATTTGAGTGGTTATTTAGAACAAATTAATTACACATTTTATTTCGCAATGTTAACAACGCACTAGAAGACGCACTAAAAACGATTGATGCTTGGGTTTCCCCGATAAATGTGTTTACGGTGTAATCATGATTTTTTTTTTCATAACACAAACACATACAAAATGCTTAAAATAGTTCCTTAGTTGATACGTTAAATGTATTTGTCATTTATAATAATAATATTGAAGCGTTTACTAAAATAAAATACTAAAATAAAAGCGGATTTAACATATTTTTTTTGCGCAATTAAATTTATTCGATTTCCGCAAAATAATAGAAAATAACTATGATTGTTTTTGTAAATCCGAACGTACTTAAATAGTATCTCCCTTTTGGCGATATGTGACTCCAGCTCATTCTTATATATATATATATATATATATATATGTATATAAACTAAGATTATTTTAACTTAAAATGAAAGGCATTCAATAACATTACCCTGATGGTAGTACTGAATTGTTTGTACAAACAGCTGTGGTCGTGATCCAGTTACCAGCATCTCAGTGTGGGGAGAAGATCACGTGGGATACAAGCCCAGAGTACGAAACCTTTACGATCACCTGTGACATCCAGCGTTTTAAAAATATGCAGAAAAACATTCAGATAAGTGGCTTTTATATTTTTAAGAAAGACGGGAGCAAAAACGGTAGTGTTCTGGCAGCCTTCAGGCCCTGTCACGTCCAACACAAGTGTGTGTATAATTTGGTAAGTGCCAGGTCAACAAAAATGTGTGTTTAACTTGGTTAGTGCCACTTCCATCCAAAGTGTTTGTTTAATTAATAAATGCCGCGTCCAAAGAAAGTGTGTGTTTAGTTTGATTAGTGTCACGTCCTACACAAGTGTGTGTTTAATTTTGTGAGTGCTACGTCCATCAATGGTGTGTGTTTAATTTGGTAAATGCCACGCCCAACACCAATGTGTACCAATAACACATTTACTTCAAGACACCAACCAAACATTTACTTCATAACACCAGCAACACATTTACTTCATGACACTAACAACACACTTACTTCATGACACTAACAAAAAATTTACTTCATGACACCACCAACACATTTACTTCATGACACTAACAACACATTTACTTCATGACATCAACAACACATTTACTTCATGACACTAACAACATATTTACTTCATGACACCAACAACACATTTACTTCATGACACTAATAACACATTTACTTCATGACACCAACCCCACATTTACTTCATGACACCAACAACACATTTACTTCATGATACCAAACCAACACTTACTTCATCACACCAACCACACAGTTACTTCATGACACTAATAACACATTTACTTCATGACACCAACAACACATTTAATTCATGACAGTAACAACATATTTACTTAATGACACCAACAACACACTTACTGCATGACACTAACAACACATGTACCTCATGACACCAACAACACATTTACTTCATGACACTAACAACACATTTCTTCATGACACCAACAACACATTTACTTCATGACACTAACAACACATTTACTTCATGACACTAACAACACATTTACTTCATGACACCAATAACACATTTACTTCATGATACCAAACCAACATTTGCTTCATGACCCCAATCACACATTTACTTCATGACACCAACAACACAGTTACTTCATGACACTAACAACACATTTACTTCATGACACTAACAACACATTTATTTCATGACACCAACAACACATTTCTTCATGAAACCAACAACACATTTACTTCATGATACCAAACCAACATTTACTTCATGACACTAACAACACATTTACTTAATGAAACCAACAACACATTTACTTCATGACACTAACCACACATTTACTTCATGATATCAAACCAACATTTACTTCATGACACCAACCACACATTTACTTCATGACACCAACCTCACATTTACGTCATGACACTAACCACACATTTAATTCATGACAATGCCAACACATTTACTTCAAGACAATGCCAACACATTTCCTTCATGACACCAACCACACTTTTACTTCATTACACCAACCACACATTTACTTCATGACAATGCCAACACATTTACTTCATGACAATGCCAACACATTTACTTCAAGACAATGCCAACACATTTACTTCAAGACAATGCCAACACATTTCCTTCATGACACCAACCACACATTTACTTCATGACACCAACCACACATTTACTTCATGACACCAATGACACATTTCTTCCATTCTATTTTTAGCATTTTCCTGCCGGGCGGGTCTGGGAGGCCACCCGGGTCCCACCAGAACACAAACAGATCCACTGCAACAAGGACCTGGACGTCTCGATATTCCAGCTGACATTGAACATCAAGGACACGATGATGTCTGACGCCGGAGAGTACGGGTGCCGGTTAGATTACTGTACTCATGAGCACAAAAAATGTGAAATCCATGATTGTGTGATGAAAGTAAAGGTGGTCCAAGGTAATGTGATCAATGATTGTGTGATGAAAGTAAAGGTGATCCAAGGTAATGTGATCAATGACTGTGTAATGAAAGTAAAGATGATCCAAGGTAATGTGATCAATGATTGTGTGATGAAAGTAAAGGTGAGCCAAGGTAAGTCTTTGACATGATCGCCAGAGCAGAGTCCAAGAGTTGATGGGGTAACTCATTCATTTGATTGTGTGGACAAAGCCGAGTAGTTCAAAAATTGTTTAGTAACATAATTGTTTTCTCTAATTTGAGATTGCCAAAGTAGGTTATTCACATAACTTTGTGCACATAGTAAATTCCATCTAAATAGGTCGGTCACTTAATTGTGTGCATAAATTCAAGTTGGTCAAAATAGTTCATTCACATAAATGTGTGCAAAGACCAAGTTTCATTAAAATAGGTCATTCATATAATTGTGTGCACAAAGTCAAGTTTGTTTAAAAAAATAGGCAATTTACAAAATTGCGTGCACAAAGACATGTTGGTCAAAGTATGTAATTCCCATTATTTTGTGCACAAAGTTAAGTTGGTTAATTAGGTCATTAACACAATTGTGTGCACAAAGTCAAGTTTGTCACAATAGGTCATTCACACAATTGTGTGCACCAAGTCAAGTTTGTCAAAATAGGTCAGTCACATAGTTGTGTGCACAAATTTATATTGGTCAAATAGGTAGGTAACATAATTGTGTGCACAAAGTAAATTTCATCAAAATCAGTCATTCACATAATTGTGTGCACAGAGTAAATTACATCAAATTAGGTCATTCACATAATTGTGTGCACTAAATGAAGGAGGTCAAAGTTTGTTTGAGAAAATCCTAGATAGTAAAAAATATGCAATGTACTTAATTGTCTGAACAAAACAAGGTATGTGATTGCAATGCACTCTTGACTCTGTACACTTAAGGTGTTTAAAAAAAAATAATTCAAATAACAAATCAATGATTAACTTATTTCTCAGAACGCAATTAATTTGACGAGACTCGACCAATCATTAAATGTCAGCAACATAAGAAACTGGTCCCCCTTAAATAGATTTTGGTAAATAGTCTTTTTTTTTTTAAATTTCGTTACCAGGTATTCTCTCTCTTCCCACCAGGTCAACCAATAACAACCTTGGCAGAGTTTCCACCAGGTGGGTTTGTTCTAGCAAAGATGTCTTAGACGGAAAGTTGCATTACAATTGTCCTTAGTCATGAAAACATAGGTAGTAGAAACGAGATCCTTTTGGGAAAATGGAAAATTGGGATCCCGGATGTCCAACTCCTGCTAGACTAGATTGGTTGATTCATCAAGTTCTTTCACACGTTGTAATACATCGTACTAACACAGAGTCAACTCAAGTCCTTTTTCATAATAAATGCCACTTAAATATCTAATTAGATTCACAGACTGTTAAATCCGTAAAGACATGATTAAAGCGCAGCTCGCTAGTGGAGAGAAATAAAACACAACCTCCTTCCACAAAGTTCCTTTCATGACTGCCACACGACTAAAACGTACGTCCCACAACAGACAAGACAAGACGTCATAACAGGCATAAAATAAGTCACTAAGTCAAGCGCGGGGAAAAGCATTCACTAACTAGCTAATCTCTCAACATACACCTCGCGCCTAATCAAACATAATATTCAGTCGCAACCATGACTAGATCTAATGACCTCTATACTCGACAGCAAGATCGGGATACCACCAGTAAAAGAAATGGTGTCAAAGGTCATTATAAATGTGTTCTTTTCATAGGAGACAAATTAATTAATTTAAAAAAACAAACTTTATCCTCTTCTTGTTCTTTCTTTCTTGACATGGCGCTTACTTGGCAGCTTACTTGGCAGCTTACTTGGCAGAATACTTGGCAGAATACTTGGCAGCTTACTTGGCAGAATACTTTGCAGAATACTTGGCAGAATACTTGGCAGCTTACTTGGCAGAATACTTGACAGAATACTTGGCAGCTTACTTGGCAGAATACTTGGCAGAATACTTGGCATAATACTTGGTAGAATACTTGGCAGAATACTTGGCAGAATACTTGGCAGAATACTTGGCAGAATACTTGGTAGAATACTTGGCAGAATACTTGGCAGAATACTTTACTGAGGCCTAGTGACTTAGGAGGGTGGGCGGGGGGGGGGGCGATTCGCCCCGGGGGAGGAGGTTGGAGGCAAGTTTAACATTTATTTTGGAATGCGGCATACTCGGACAAATACAATCTTTGAGGGATTTAGGCTGTTTGATCTTGATACCACATTGCATGAACGTTATGACTTTATTCACAGCTTATGCCTTTGCACCGCTCCTCGACGTTACTACCAATCGCAGTTGACCGACATCTCCTCTTTTCCTTCCCTTTTTGCCTGTATTTAATCTCTCCCCTACTTGTTTTCTGTCACACTTCTTTTGCTGCCCTATCGGATACTACTCCTAGGCTAAGTGCTATTTTTAAAATGTAAAATGTAAATCTGTTTTTTATGTTGTTCAATCGCTTCCTGCCCTCACATTCATTGTTTTGTTGCGTTCCTTTTTTCAGGTCTGAAAATACTTTGTTTTGCTCATTTCGTGTTTAATCTTCGGATGCCCTTTGACGACTAAACCATAGCTACGCCAATGGCTCTCTTCCTCTCTAGACTATTCCACTAATGTAAAAAAAAGTAGTTGGTTGACCCATGCTCCTTAACTTTCAGTCGATTTCATTGGCGGCAAAGGTTGGGGGGATAGGTAAGGGCTTTAAATACCCTTGTCAGGGGCGCCACAAATAGATTCATTCCGGTTGCGGCTCCACCTGAGGTTACACTTCGGCTTCAGCTTAGTTTTATCTCTGGAATCTATGCAGTGACAGTCAACGTAATATACACCCAACTCAAGAGAAATCATATTTGTGCAAGAAGAAAATCCTTTTACTTGCTAGCATCCAATGCTGTTTTGTGGATAAGTAGGTAAGGGTGCTGTCACTAGCATCCAATGCTGTTTTGTGGATAAGTAGGTAAGGGTGATGTCACTAGCATCTAATGATGTTTAGTGGATAAGTAGGTAAGGGTGCTGTCACTAGCATCCAATGCTGTTTTGTGGAAAAGTAGTTGCTGGTATTGTCACTAGCATCCAATACTGCTTTATGGATAAGTAGGTAAGGATTTTATCACTAGCATTCTATGCTGTTTTGTGGATAAGTTGGTAAAAGTGCTGTCGCTGGTATCTAATGCTGTTTTGTGGATAAGTAGGTACGAGTACTCTGCTAGCATCCAATTTGGGTTTGTGAATAATCAGGTACGGGTGCTGTCAGTAGCATCCAATGTTTTTTTTAAAAATAAGTTGGTACGAAAGCTGTAACTTTTATTGAGAAGTGAGGCTCATTGAGGCCACTCCTCACATATATAAATTAAGAACGAATTTGTTAAAAATAGTGCTTGCTACTGCAGTTTCAAAACAAATTTAATTCCCTAAAATCCGTTCGATATTCATGGACACTATGGCGGACTTGATGCCACAGGTGCCTGAGGCCCATAATAAGCCGGAGGTCCCCAAGAAGCTGAGCGCCCCTAAACGTCCGAGGCCTCCGAGAAGCCTGATGTCCTTGGCAAATGTCCTGTGTCATCATGCCTTAAGAGGCCTCGGCCTTCATACAGTGCGTTGAGTAAAACGAGTTGGTGATTTTTACGAGGTCGTCCTATAGACACTACGTTATTCAACTGGCTAAAACAAAATAATTTTAACCGGACAGAGTCTGCACTCCATATTTTACCAAATCAATCAATAGTTTCGTCCTTTACGTTATCACTATCCACAAAGGTAGAAATGTGGTTTGGAGTATTAGGTGACATTACCTCCTAGAGTATGGAGTATTAGGTGACATTACCTCCTAGAGTATGAAGTATTAGGTGATCCCCTAGGTCAGCGGCTGTCAACTTTGTTTCCTCGCATGCAGCATATTATACCATATCATAATAAATACCCCCCCCTCCCCCAAAATGGAATAACAAATTTTCCCAAAGGACGGGTTTTAAATAATTGTTTTCGAATTTTCCCGCCACCATCAAAATAATTGGTGGGAGCCGCCAATGCTGTCCACGGCGTACCCCTTGGTGTTCCACAGGTTGGGACCGCTGCGCTACTGTAAGAAGTAATAATTTATATTTATGTATTGTACAAACAAATAGAGTCTTGCAATTATGATTACCTTGAATCTTGCAATTTTTACCAAATACCTTTGTTAAGACATATTTATTCTTAACAACACATGAATGAATTATAAAAAATTGTTAAATCGAGGTTAATAAATTATTAATTGTTTGAACTCAAAAATTTTGAAATTACTTGCAGAAAAATCAGAAGTTTATAGTGAGTATAGTAAATGTACTGTATCGTCCAATTGTCTCATCCATTCCTTTAACATTTAGTTTTTGTGTCATTCATTTCTCTAACATTTAGTTATAACGTGATCCATTTTTTAAAACATGTATAATTATGTCGTCCATTTCTTTAACATTTAGTTATGTTTATTATACTTGTACTGACACTTTCAAAACTCGACATCATGATATGTATCTGGCGTGGCTGGTGTTGTTTTGCAGAACATAATTATACACATACATGATTGACTATACACATGCCTGATTGACTATACACATACATGATTGACTATACACATGCCTGATTGACTATACACATGCCTGATTGACTATACACATACATGATTGATTATATACATACATGATTGACGATACACATGCCTGATTGACTATACACATGTCTAATTGACTATACACATGCCTGATTGACTATACACATACATGATTGATTATACACATGCATGATTGACTATACACATGCCTGATTGACTATACACTTGCATGATTGACTATACACATACATGATTGATTATAAACATACATGATTGACTATACACATGCCTGATTGACTATACACATACATGATTGACTATACACATGCCTGATTGACTATACACATACATGATTGACTATACACATACATGATTGACTATACACATGCCTGATTGACTATACACATACATGATTGACTATACACATACATGATTGACTATACACATACATGATTGACTATACACATGCCTGATTGACTATACACATACATGATTGACTATACACATACATGATTGACTATACACATACATGATTGACTATACACATGCCTGATTGACTATACACATACATGATTGACTATACGCATGCCTAATTGACTATACACATACATGATTGACTATACGCATGCCTGATTGACTATACACATACCTGATTGACTATACGCATGCCTGATTGATTATACACATACATGATTGACTATACACATACATGATTGACTATACACATGCCTGATTTAATATACACATGCCTGATTGACTATACACAGACATGATTGACTATACACATGCCTGATTGCCTATACACATACATGATTGACAGAAGATCTATTGTAATAATTGTAAACAAAGTTTGCAAAGCGTGTTTAATATCTCTACTACTCAGCACTCATAGTTGACCAAATGTTTTAATCTCTCTCCAACTTACTACTCATAGTTGACCATGTGTTTTAATCTCTCTACTACTCACTACTCATAGTTGACCATGTGTTTTAATATCTCTACTACTCACTACTCATAGTTGACCATGTGTTTTAATATCTCTACTACTCACCACTCATAGTTGACCATGTGTTTTAATATCTCTACTACTCACTACTCATAGTTGACCATGTGTTTTAATATCTCTAATACTCACTACTCATAGTTGACCATGTGTTTTAATATCTCTACTACTCACTACTCATAGTTGACAATGTGTTTTAATATCTCTACTACTCACTACTCATAGTTGACCATGTGTTTTAATATCTCTACTACTCACTACTCATAGTTGACCATGTGTTTTAATATCTCTACTACTCACTACTCATAGTTGACCATGTGTTTTAATATCTCTACTACTCACTACTCATAGTTGACCATGTGTTTTAATATCTCTACTACTCACTACTCATAGTTGACCATGTGTTTTAATATCTCTACTACTCACTACTCATAGTTGACCATGTGTTTTAATATCTCTACTACTCACTACTCATAGTTGACCATGTGTTTTAATATCTCTACTACTCACTACTCATAGTTGACCATGTATTTAAATATCTCT